AAAACCATTAGCTTCATCAACGTCTTCTCCGGAGAGCAGCCCTTGTATCGCAAGGGTTGAAGTCTCCTGCCACAAACAATTGGTCTTTGACTAATCTAATCTAACTGTTAACGTGCAGAATTATCTTATTTGCGAACTAACAGAAACACTCACGATTAAAAAGCCATTACAAAGCTATTACACAAAAGAAAGATCGGCAGAGGCAGGGAGTCCAGAAAAGCTGAACTGATACGAACCATCTTTCTAATGTACTCAGAGTGATTTAAAAAAAAATAACGTTACTCTATTAAGCAAATAACGGAATGATCTTGGAAACCGAACATTAAAGTTGATTAAAGTTGCTGTTGAAACTCCTTTGGATGTAGCTGTTGCCTTTTTATTTGCAGCTGGGGTTAGGTCTTTTTGGGAAATTTGATTTACTTTCAAATCAGTTTGGAGTGACAGAAAAACACACAATGACTCATAATCTATCTCTCCTGTCACTTCTCCTCCTCCTCCTCCTCCTTCTTCCTCTTCCTCTTCTCCTCCTCCTCCTCCTCTTCTTCTCCTTCTCCTTCTCCTTCTTCTTCTCCTCCTACTCCCCTTCTTCTCCTTCTCCTTTTCTCTTCCTCCCCTCCTCCTCCTTCCTTTCTTTTCCTTCTCCTTCTCCTTCTCCTTCTTCTCCTCCTCCTCCTCCCCTCCCCTTCTTCTTCTTCTTCCCTTCTTCTTCTCCTCCTACTCCCCTTCTTCTCCTCCTTCTCCTTCTCTTCCTCCCCTCCTCCTCCTCCTTCCTTTCTTTTCCTTCCCTTCTCCTCCTTCTTCTCCTCCTCCTCCTCCTCCTCCCCTTCTTCTTCTTCTTCTTCTTCTTCTTCTTCTTCTTCTTCTTCTTCTTCTTCTTCTTCTTCTTCTTCTTTGTCTATATTTTTAACTGTTTTTTAATATTTGTATTCTATGTTTTTTATCTTGGCTGTACACCGCCCTGAGTCCTCAGGGAGAAGGGCGGTATATAAATTGGAAATTAAATTAAATTAAATTAAATTCTCTTCTTCCTCCTACTCCTTCCTTTCTTCCCCTTCTCCCCTCCCCCTCCCCCTCCTCCTCCTCCTTCTTCTCCTCCTCCTCCTCCTCCTCTTCTCCTTCTCCTCTTCCTTTTCTTCTTCCTCCTCCTTCTCCCCTCCCCTTTCCCCTTTCCCTTTGAAAACATTTCACTTCTCATCCAAGAAGCTTCTTTAGTTCTGAACTGAAGTCACAGTCCCATGCTTCCATAAAATGTCGGGAGTTCTTGTCTTTATTCCAGTCAGCAGTGCAATACCATTTCAGAGAGATAATCAGGTTAACAAAAGGGCAATGTTTGGTTTAAAGACACTGCTGTTAAAATTCAGTTTCTAGAATCTGCCTTCTGAATGAACCAGGTGGGTGGGTCATAGGGATGACCTGTATGTTGTAGATGCACATGAAGAAGCATTTTGCTTCACAGCCTGAAGACTGAAGATGACTGCTCATTTAAAGAGAAGGAGCAAAAACTGGGCTAAATTCCAAAAGGCAGAAGACAAAACATTTTTTCCCAACCCAGCAAGGAATCCTTAAGCTGTCCCAAAGGTGCTTTTTCAAGAGGCAACTGGACTTTCTGTTTTTTCTTTGAAGATGTTTTGCTTCTCATCCAAGAAGCTTCTTCAGCTCTTGGACCTGGTTGACTGAGAATCTCCATAGACAGTCCTTAAGGTGGTTCATTGCTGAATGTGATGATTAAAACTCTGTTTATGTAGTAACAGGGCTGTCAATGTTTATTCGCTTTCTCTCAGTGCAGTTTTAGTCATTTCTACTATCGTTTGCCAAGGACCCTATTATGAAATCCAGGACTGAGTAAGCTCTTAGTTGCAGAATTTTGCTTTCTGTCACTGTAAAAAGTACATAGCAGGAAAGAACCCTGTGGGAACATCAGTCAGGAGCAAGGATTTGTCTTCTCTGCTCAAGAGAAAAATAAGCGGAGTATAATAGTGCTTTACAGCCCTCTCTAAGCAGTTTACAGAGTCAGCATCTTGCCCCCAACAATCTGGGTCTTCATTTGACCCACCTCGGAAGGATGGAAGGCTGAGTCAACCTTGAGCCTGGTGGGATTTGAACTGCCAAATTGCAGGCAGCCGGCAGTCAGCAGAAGTAGCCTGCAGTACTGCACTCTAACCACTGTGCTACCACGGCTCATAATATTCTCTTTCTCCTGGATTCGCTTTTACGTTGGATATTGTTGCTGTTAACTTCTACGCATTGGGGAGGAGAATGGATGGACACAATCTACACAACGGGTTTTGGAGCATGCTGTAAACCAGCAGTCCCCAACTTTTGCAGCTGGGGGGGGGGCAGCGGGGGGGTGGGAGAGAGGAACTGGTCCACGTAAGTGGCAGGTTAGCACGCATGTGCCAGCGCAGCTCAACTTGTCCGAGTGGTGCATGTGCGTGCAGCTCAACTTCCACAAACTGAGCTATGCACATATGTACAAGTGTGCCGGCCGACCACTCACGCAAGTCGAGCTGCACGCACAGGCACCAGCCTACAACTTGCGTGGCCTGATTGTAAATAGGCCATGGGCCAGTAGTGGGCCAGTAGTGGGCCACGGCCCAGGGTTTGGGACCCCTGCTGTAAATAACTGTGTTCTGTTTAATAGGTAAAGATAAAGATTCCCCTCGCATATATGTGCTAGTCGTTCCCAACTCTAGGGGGCGGTGCTCAACTCCGTTTCAAAGCCGAAGAGCCAGCGCTGTCCAAAGACATCTCTGTGGTCATGTGGCCGGCATGACTAAACACCAAAGGTGCACAGAACGCTGTTACCTTCCCACCAAAGGTGCTCCCTATTTTTCTACTTGCATTTTTTACCTGCTTTCGAACTGCTAGGTTGGCAGAAGCTGGTACAAGTAACGGGAGCTCGCCCCGTTATGCGGCTCTAGGGATTTGAACCGCTGAACTGCCAACCTTTCGATCGACAAGCTCAGCGTCTTAGCCACTGAGCCACCACATCTATTTATCATTTAATATGCCTATATAAAAGGCTGTTGGCCAAGCAAAGCAAATGTTTAAAAAAATGGCCAGAGCTTCCATCATTGTGGCCATCATTTTGACTTTTCTGGCCCTGGTTAAGTTAAAAAGTTGGGAAATAAAGTATGAGTTAATTTATTAGGGTTTTGGGAGAACAGAGTGACTCCTGGAGCTGTATCTCTGAGCCTGCAGGAAGAGATTTTGATTTCTCGTACATCATTATAACATATATATAAAATAAGGTCTACTAGATTGCAAAAAGTTATTATAGCGGTGCCATTTTTCTTCTTTCTTTCACTCTTTTCATGCAGTGCAGAGAACCAGAAAGCTAATAAAATTAATCTACAGATAAGATCCTGAAATTAACCTTTCTAGCTGCACAATTGAGATATAAAACCAGCTGGCATAAAGCCGTGGCAGGAGAGAAGAGACCCAATAAAATGGGAAAATTACATGAATGAATGGAAAGAACCATTGGTAAGGAAGATTTTTATATATTTATTGGTATTCCACATTTATTATTTTGACAAATAACTCAAGGTGGTGAACATATCCAACACACATTCCTCCTTCTATTTTCCCCCATAACAATAATCCTGTGAGGTGGGTTGGGCTGAGAGAGAGTGACTGGCCCAAAGTCCTCCATCCACTTTTCATGCCTAAAGTGGGACTAGAACTCACAATCTCCTAGTAATTGCCCAAAGACACCCAGCCAGCTCTCATGCTTAAGGCAAGACTAGAACTCACAGTCTCCTATTGATTAGCCCAAAGTCCCTCAACTGTCTTTGAGATCTAAGGTATGACTAGAACTCCCAGGCTCCTAGTGATTGGCCCCAAATCACCCAGCTCTCTTTCATGGCTAAAGTGAGACTAGAACCCACAGTCTCCCACTTTCTAATTCTGATGCTTTACCCAGTGGACCAAACTGACTCTCTAGTTTAGGGGTGTCAAACTCAATTTCATTGTGGACCACATCAGGGTTTGACCTCGGGGGGCCTGGTGGGCATGGCCAACTCGACATCACTCGTATTGGCGGTACCTGTGGTGACCTGGGCGGGGCTGGGGAGATCCATTGTCTCCAGCAGAGGAAGACGAGACCAAGGAATGTCCACTCCGACACAAACTGAGCAACGTGGTATATGCAGTACAATGCAGTGAGCCATGTGCTGATCTGTACATGATTGGGGAAATAAAACAGCCACTTCACAAATGCATGGCACAACATAGGAGAACAAACCCATCAAGACAAGATGCATCAGTCCAGCTGCATTTAAAAGACACAGGCCACTCTTTTGAAGACGGCAAAGTCCACATTTTGGACAGAGAGGCACCATGGGCTGGTCCTTTGCTGTTTCCAGGGTAGCCCCACGGGCAAGATCTAAGCACTCTGTGGGCCGGATCTGGCCCCCAAGCCTTGAGTTTGACACCCTTGCTCTAGATGGACCTGTGGAAGATACACAATTTATTTTCTTTTTCCTAAGATATGTCTGTCTGATGGAAAATATTAGCCACAACATTCCCATGCCTTATTCCCTAAAGCTTTGCTGGGTAGTGATTCAGACATTGAGGAAAAGAGAGAGAGAGAGAGAGAAAGAGAGAAAGAAAAAATTAAATTTCTTTGACCAGATGCTAGTAACTTTTTAAAAATAAATGGGGGTAGGGAAGGGAGAAAGGCATTCAGAGCAAGATCTCGCTGTTGGCTCATGGAAGCAAAGAGGGAACTGTTAAAGAGATCCCGTTACAAAAAAAGACCCTCTGACTGAGTTTTTCTCTCCAGCTCTCAGCCACGGAAGGGTTAACCCGCCAAGTTCCAAGCTTACACTGGAGATTATAGAATGTTTATCTAGTATTCAGATTTCCTGTTTAAATGTTTGGATTTCCTGAAATCTATCAGTCTGAAGGGTGTCCAGTGCGTGGCCTTTTCCTCCCCTTCTTTCAGCTCACATGGGTGGACTTCCCTTCCCAACTGTATTTCTGTCTCCTCACCAGCCAAGATTTTCATGGATGAAAATCAAAACGTTTTAGGCATCCCCCAGGAAAATATATCTGGATCCCTGGACTTTGGGGTGTGTTTTGTTTTAATCTAGCGAGCAAATAATCAACAGAAAAATTCCTGGGAATTTCCTATTGGTGCAGCGTGTCTTTTTTTTTTTTTTTTTTTCTTTTTTTCCCCCCTTTTCTCTCCTTTTTTTTTTCCAGTGTTGGAAAATAATTTTAGCACTTTCAAGACAATGGAATGATGGCCTTCCTTTTGGCATGCTCTTCTGGAATGGGACTTCAAACTGGACAAGTCTTGGTGAGTTAAAAGCTGCCGGTTTCGGGATTGTGGATTAAGGGAAATAATGGTCCAGGCCAGCTTTGTGTTCCTTAGATTGGGATGTTTTAAATAACAAGTCTCAGACCACAAAACTATTTGCTTTATGGATACGTTTATATTTTAACTGCTGGGGGATGCATGCTTTTCACTGAACAATGTTTTTTGCTAAGTATGTAATTCAGAAAGATTTCCAGGCTCAAAAATCCTTACTTGGAGGGAAAAAATATTCATTTTAAGAACAACACTTGTGGGCAGATTTCTGGTTCTGCAAAAGAAGCCACGTGTCCACCGATTTGCCCTGATCCTGGCTAAAAATCAAACTTAAATTAAAAGTTTTCTTTCCTTCTTCCCACTTCAAACAACATCATCGCTGTGGATGATTCTTATTTGCATCGTTTTCAAAGCCTGTTCATGCCATATCAAGGCCACAGGTCTTATTTCTTTTTAATTTCAGCCCAATGCAGAGACTAAATTACTTTTCAGATCTCTCTGAGCCAAAGGAGATAAAGCAAAGTCGAGCAGTCAGCAAAGAGCTAATTTTATTCCTCAAGTTTTCTGCCGAGAGAAGCAATAAGAACTTTGCGAATTTTTTTTTTTTAAAAAAAAGACCTTTAGATTACCTTGAAGGCGATAAAGATGTGATCTGACTATTTTAACCCTAAAAGTTATTTAGAAAGCACGTTCAAATTCAGATCAACTTTTTTTTTGCTCTTCAAGTGGTGTAATCTATGCTAAAGTACCCAATCCTTACCAGGGAATAAGGCAAAATTTGCAGGAGCTACTGACTTCAATAAATAACTAATTACTCAGAAGTAAACTCCAGTGAATTTGGGTGATTATTTTGCATCGTTTCCATGAAATCCAAGATATTTTAAGCTCCCAGGTCTGTATGCAATATTGAAATCCACCGAAGGAGAGATTTACTGTGCATTATTCAAGGTTTGTGCAGAAAAGCTGATACAAATTGCATTTGAAATATTTGCCTTTGTGTGGAAGTTTAGAGAGAAAGTTTTGTTGATTTATTCATTCATTGATTTATATGGGTAGTGTTTCTTCAGCAACCTGATGGTAGAATGGTAGAAATTATGATCCTATTCACACACGCTATGCTATTCACCCCTGCCTGTTCTCATGTTGTGTTAAAAGTAATACGGCTTTTTTTTATCCAACCTAGTAGTTTCACTGGAGTCCTCTACTTACAACCATTTGTTTAGTGACTGTACAAAGTTACAGCAGCACTGAAAATGTGACTTACAACCAGTTGTAAGCCTGAACTAGGTGGCTCAGTGGCTAAGACACTGAGTTTGTCGATCACAAAGGTCGGCAGTTCGGCGTTCGAATCCTTAGTACAGATTTCCTGCGTGGGCAGGGGGTTGGACTAGATGACCCCCCAAGGTCCCTTCCAACTCTGTTACTGTTACCAGTTCTCATGCTAATGACTGTCACACCATCCTTGTGGTCACAGTAGCAAAAATTTGGGTGCTTGGCAACTGGTGTGTATTTACAATGGTTTCAACACCCCAGGGTCATATGATGTGTGATGGCCCAGTGGTTATAATGCAGTACTGCAGGCTACTTCTGCTGACTGCCGGCTGCTTGCAATTTGGCAGTTCAAATCTCATCAGGTTCAAAGTTAACTCAGCCTTGCAGCCTTCCAAGGTCGGTAAAATGAGGACTCAGGTTGTTGGGGGCAAGTTGCTGACTCTATAAATCTCTTAAAGAGGGCTGTAAACAGTGGTGGGTTCCTCCCGGTTCCGCCGAGCCGGTAGCGATGATGGTATGATGTCACCGAACTGGTTCTGGGGGGCCCCCGCCACCCCCCGCCACCACCCCCACTCCCCCTGCATTATTTTTACCTTTTATTTGGCCCCACCCCCAATCTATTGCTGCCTCCTGAGTCCCAGCTGATGGCTAGAGGGAAAAAAACTGTTTAAATTCTTGCCGTGGGGCTTCAAAGGGCCTCCCTACAGCTGATCAGTGTTAAAAGCAAACAAATGAGTAGACCGATGCCTGCAAAAATAAATGGGTAGACCAGTGCTTCCAAAAACAAATGGGTAGACCAGTGCCTGCAAAAATAAATGGGTAGACCAGTGCCTCCAAAAACAAATGAGTAGACCAGTACAGCTCTGCAAGCAGTTAAAAGCCTGGTAGACCAGTACCTCTGCTAAATCCTAAAGAATTGTCACATGATCATCAAGCCACGCCCACAAAATAAGCCACGCCCACAGAACCGGTAGTAAAAAAATTGAGAACCCACCCCTGGCTGTAAAGCACCAAGAAGCGGTATATAAATCTAAGTGCTATTGCTATCTCCATTTACGACTTTCCCAGCTGGCTTCTTAAAATCAAAGTCAATGGCAGAAGCCAGCTTTGCTTAATAATTGCAAGGATTTGCTTACCAACCATGGCAAAAAAAGGTCATACAATTGGGTGTGATTCACTTAACAACCATCCACCAGTAGTTTAGTAATGGAAAATCCTATCCCAATTGTAGTTATAAGTCAAGGACTAACTGCGGCTGATAACTGTTTTTGACACTTATGATCTTTGCCACATCTCCATGGACACGTGATCAAAATTCGGATGCTTGGCAACTGTTCCATATTTATGACAGTTGCAGTGTCCTGGGGTCATGTGATCACCTTTTGCAACCTTCTGACAAGCAAAGTCAACGGGGAAGCCAGATTCACTTAACAACCGGGTTGCTAACTGAACAACTACAGTGATTCACTTTAACACTGTGGCAAGAGAGGTCGGAAAAGGGGGGGTGGGGGGAACTCACTTAAACAAATGTTTCGCTTAGCAACAGAAATGTCGGCCCCCAATTGTGGTCATAAATCGAGGACTACCTGTATTCTCAGAAGCCGAGTAACATCTCCACAATTCCATGTCTCCAGTGGTGGGTTCCTCCCGGTTCGGCCAGGTTCAGCCGAACCGGTAGCGTTGATGATATGACGTCACCGAACCGGTTCTCTTTGTTCGGGAGCTGGGCCTCGAACCCTCTACCGGTTCGGCTGAGCCGGTAGCGGTGACAATATGACGTCATTGAACCGGTTCTCTTTGTTCAGGAGCTGGGCCCTCCCGCCCCCCCTGTGTTATTCTTACCTTTTATTTGGCCCCGCCTCCAATCTATTCGCTGAGTCCTAGCTAATCAGCTAGAAGGAAAAAAACTGTTTAAACCCTTGCCGCGGGGCTTCAAAGGGCCGCCCTACAGCTGATCAGTGTTAAAAGGCAGTTTGGTGGTAGACTGTGCACTTGAAGAACAAATGAGTAGACCAGTGCCTCCAAAAACAAATGGGTAGACCGGTGCCTCCAAAAACAAATGAGTAGACCGGTGCCTCCAAAAACAAATGAGTAGACCGGTGCCTCCAAAAACAAATGGGTAGACCGGTGCCTCCAAAAACAAATGGGTAGACCGGTGCCTCCAAAAACAAATGGGTAGACCGGTGCCTCCAAAAACAAATGGGTAGACCGGTACCTCCAAAAACAAATAGGTAGACCGGTGCCTCCAAAAACAAATGGGTAGACCGGAACGCTCCAAGAACAAATGGGTAGACCGGTACAGCTCTGCAAGCAGTTAAAAGCCTGGTAGACCAGTACCTCTGCTAAATCCTAAAGAATTGTCACATGACCATCAAACCGTGCCCACAACATAAGCCACACCCACAGAACCGGTAGTAAAAAAATTTAGAACCCACCCCTGCATGTCTCCTCAGTCCATTTCCAATGCGTTTGATGTCTAGCTCCTGATTTCACAGAGGCCTGCATTTTAATATGAAAGAAACCAAGGAACCAAAAGAATTATTGACGAATCTTAAAGATGCAAAGTTTAGAGAAGGAGGAAAACTTTCCAAAAAAAAGAAAAAAAAACCCTGAAGGGTTTGAAAATGCCTGCACGGTTTGAAACTCAGCCACGCTGGCTGATGAAGGATTGTGCATCGGATCAGGCAGCACAAGGCAATCTGAGCTTTCGTTACGAAAAGTTTCCCCTTTGGCGGGCGGATTAAGGCAGGATGAGGGAGGGAAGGGTGAGGTTTAATTTAAAATCTTCTTGAAACTGGAAGACTGTCTTAGTTCGGACGCCTTTGGGGAGCTGATTAATGAAGCTGTGCTGCAGGCTGGCGTCAGCATACTTTTCAATTGTATTGCTTTCTAGTGATGAGAACTTTTGCTGGTGCTTTGAAATGAATCCGAGTCAAGTTATTTGCTGATACACTGCAAGTTCTAGGCTGCATAAACAGAGGGATAGAATCAAGACCACGTGAAGTGTTAATACCGCTTTATAATGCCTTGGTAAGGCCATACTTGGAATACTGCATTCAGTTTTGGTTGCCATAATATACAAATGATGTTGCAGAGTGCAGAGAAGATTCTGAGACTCTAGAAAGAGTGCAGAGAAGAGCAACAAAGATGATCAGGGGACTGGAGGTTAAAACATATAAAGGACGGTTGCAGGAACTGGGTTTGTCTAGTTTAATGAAAAGGAGGACTAGGGGTGACATGATAGCAGTCTTCCAATATACAGTATTTCAGTATTTGAGGGGCTGCCACAAAGAAGAATGGGTCAAATTATTCTCCAAAGCACCAGAAGGCAGGACAAGAAACAATGGTTGGAAACTGATCAAAGAGAGAAGCAACCTGGAATTAAGGAGAAACTTCCTGACAGTGAGGACACTTAACCAGAGGAACAACTTGCCGTCAGAAATTGTGGGTGCTCCATCACTGGAGGTTTTTAAGAAGAGACTGGACAGTCACTTGTCTGAAATGGTATAGGTTCCCCTGCTTCAGCAGGGGGTTGGACTAGAAGACCTCCAAGGTCCCTTCCAAATCTTCTATTCTATTCTATTCTATTCTGTTCTATTCTATTCTGTTCTATTCTATTCCACTCCACTCCACTCCTATATTCTATTCTATTCTATTCTATTCTATTCTATTCTATTCTATTCTACTCTACTCTACTCTACTCTACTCTACTCTAC